AGATATCCGCATTCTTCTTATATAATTTTAATAGACCGTGAAGAGGAACCAAGATGACTGTACACAGATGCTGGAGAAAGTTCAAGGGCTCGTCTATGCTATTATCCACGTTTATATCAAATCCGATACCGGTGGTGAATTACCCCCGAAAATGTTGAACTATTTGGGGAGATTCGCTGAGCAAGTGTTTATCATCATTCTCACTTGTTGGGTGCTCACTTCCATAGGACCCTGCACAAGATCCACACCTATGTTGAAGCCCAGCAGGAGAAGAGCAAAATCAAACAGTTTTTTCGTCAAGGTGAAATGAGGGCATTACAAAAGGACTGTCATATCGGACTCGAACAAACACTTGAGGGATTCAAGGCATGTCAATTACTGCTGCTAGTGCTAAATTTTCAATGACAAAAAAATGTTTCAGATTCAAGGTGTCACACTGCTAAGTGATATGATGGAAATCCAAAACCATGCACAGAAGGCACACATGGAAGTCCTGGAAATGGTCTCGGCTCTTTCAAATGAGGAAATGTCTGATGGCAGATCTGCTGTATGCCCTGATTGCCCCTATTCAAAATGAATAATACTGATTTTTTCCAACAGATCAGCAGAGGCCTCTCTGACAGGTATATCTACCTATGCATTAGATCATTTGGGGACTCATCTCGAATACCATCCAGTTCAAACTCGCTTTCCTTGTTGCCATCAGAGCCCAAGATATTCCATGGCCGTGAATCTGAAGTTTCAGCCATTATCCAAACACTTGTCAAAGGAACACCTCGAATAGCAATATTAGGACCCGGTGGAATCGGAAAAACAAGCTTGGCAAGAGCCATTCTCCATCACCCTGAAATCAGTGTCACATATGGCCAGCATCGGGTTTTTGTCCCTTGCGACACTGTATCAAGTACCATTGAACTTGCAGGCCTGATTGGAGCTCATTTAGGACTAAAGCAAGGAAATGATCTCAGGAGACCTGTTGTTCGTCATTTCACCAGCAGCCCACCATCACTGCTGATTTTGGACAATCTGGAAACAATCTGGGAGGCAAGAGAGTCTCGTGCCGAAATTGAGAAGTTCTTGGCCTTGCTTGCTGAAGTAGAGCATCTGGCCCTGATTGTAAGTAGATAGACCGAGTGCTGGTGTCTACATACTGAGATCATTCCAGATCACAATGCGTGGAGTGGAAAGGCCGACCAATGTTCGCTGGACTCGACCATTCTTGGAGCCATTGAAGCCCTTAAACCAGGAGGCTGCTCGCCAAACCTTCATTGATATTGCAGACAATAATCATAGTCTTGAAAAGATCGACAAAATCCTGCTCCTAGTCGATAACATGCCCCTGGCAATTGACCTCATTGCTCAATTGGTAGACTGTGAGGGTCTCCCGAGTGTGCTGGAACGATGGGAGAAGGAGAGGACCTCACTGCTCTCGGAAGGTTATGACAGACGCTCCAACTTGGATCTATCAATTTCACTGTCGCTGGAGAGCCCTCGCATCCTGGCCTTGCCAGAGTCTCAGGAGTTGTTGAGCCTACTCTCCATTCTCCCAGATGGGCTTTCCGATACAGAACTGTTGCAAAGCAAGCTGCCAATTGACAACATCTTGACCTGCAAATCTGTGTTACTTTCCACATCTTTGGCATACACTGATGACCAGAAACGACTGAAAGCATTGGTCCCTATCAGGGAATATATCCAAGCAATACATCCCCCTGTAGCTAGGATGGTTCAACCTCTTCGTGAACACTTTCAGGAACTCCTCGAGGTCTATGTGACATATCATGGAACAGTTTCAGCTCTAGGGGCAGTTGCTCGAATAACATCCAACTTTGCCAACATCCACAATATCCTGGTAAACCGTTTAACTCGAGATAACCCTGATTTTGTGGACACAATCTACTGTGCATGTCGCTTTGATCACTTCAGTAGTCTGTCTGGACGTGGTTGGAGTCAATTAATGGACCTCATTCCCAATCTTCTGCCTCACCCCAGAAACCATCAATTGGAGGTGTCCTTTGCCATTCGTCTCCTGGTAGCAGCCAAATATCGTCCCATTCCTAAGGCACAACATATAACCCGCCGGGCTCTAGAATCCTTGGCATACTGCGATGATCCAGATCTCAAATGTAAGTCATGTGTTACAATCTGTTGTAAATTAGATGCTAACAAGACTGCACCAGGCCGATTTTATGAAGCTCTAGCAGGATATTTTATGATCCCCTACAACAGTGATATTCCAACCGCTATTTCCTTCGTTCACACAGGGATGTCATTGTCAATTTCCACTGGGAACATCAGAAGGCAGTCCGACTTGTTGGGTACATTGGCATGGATCAAATGGAGCACTGGTGATTATTCAGCAGGCCGTGAGAATGCATATGCATCTCGGAGGCTGGCCATGATCTCAGGCAACTCATATCAAGAAGCACTGGCATTGAATACAGAGTCAATGTGCTGGTATGCTGTTGGCAGCTATAAGCATAGCATCACTCTGTCCACAAGGGCACGAGATCTCCTCCGTTTTTGTGGCATGTCTGGTGGTGCATTTGATCAAGACATCATGAGCCTCCAAGCGGAAGTTCATCTCCTGAAATCTGAATACCTGGATGCCCGTAACATGCAGTCTCAAATATTGCGCAACAACTTCATTGAGCAAGCTCCATATCACCATGCCTTTGCTCTACTCAGCATTTTACAGAGTGATGCTGAAATGGATCTAGGAAGCTGCGAGAGGAACCACATTGATACAGCAAACCGGCTGTTCCACAGCATAGGATATTCAAATGGAATCATGTACTGTGATATTATCCAAGCAACCCTGGATATAAAGGAGGGGAACTATCTAACTGCAAAGTCCCAATTCCAACAGAGTCTTTCATCTGCGTGGGGCAAAGACACAGATGTTGTCAGCTTCTGTTTAGAGAAACTGGGGGATGTCTCTCTCTGGACTGTGATGGATCATGTTTCATATAATGCAACAGTCACATTTCTGGTCCATAGCATTAAACTCAGGATGAAATTACAAACTCACAAAGCTCTCCAATTTCTTGGAGATGTATACCTGGCACATGGTGACCAACAGACAGCAATCAGTTTGTTCGAGGTCGCTCTGGAGGGATTTACACATATGGATGTTCACCGCAGCAGAGCAGAATGCATGCTTCGCCTGGGAGGTATTTGGAACTTGAGAGGCGATGTTGTGAAGGCAGGAGAACTTTGGAAAACCACACGACCATTGTTTGAACGGTCATCCCAGGAAAAACAAATGGCTCGTATCGATGAGCGGCTTGCTGGAATCAGCCACTGCCCACTTGATGGGCCTGCGGAGACCCTTCTCCGTCTCTCAGACCTGCATGCACCAACGGGCACTCCACAAGAGTTGACCATTGGGCCAATTAACATTACCCCATCAAATGTCGAAGAGGTAGAGAGTGGGGGCGTAGATGATGGCCCAGATCCAGTTTTGTCTCCAGCCTGATTGCGTAGTGATGATTTATTTGACATTATGTTTTCCCAGAGATTTCCTCTCTTCATACCTGACTCATGCATCGCACTCCAAATGTTTCCTATTTTCTTACTCTGCTTTCCATTTATCTTTTGTCTGCCGAAGTCTTCTTATATACCTGAACCCCTCCCCTTGCACAGTTCCGTATGTACGTGTAACCAGGTATGATCCCCATATCCCGCTTTTGTTCCAGGCCGATTCTGTTGTGATATTTATTTATGCGACATAACTTTTTGTACTGGCGGCTGAAAGATATAATTTCTGATGTCCCACTCAAATTCAGTAGAATGAACTGCATCATAGTGATGTCGTGGAAGCAAAAAATAAGAACATTCCAGATTCATTGTTGAGGATGCTGATGGAGGTACAGATAGTAGACCATTTGAACATTTATTATTCCAGCATATTTTCATGCTTTCCCAGTGTTCTTTCAATCAATTTCACCTGTTCAGAAATTTTGGCTGACATACAAGTGTTTCCTTTCTTTTGAACCATCCCCTCTTTTTGTTCTCATCGAACAAGAACAGCTTCCATCCCCGGGCCCGGGTCTAAAATCTCACAAACCCAGATAGAATTTTCTTGTGCCCCTCGCCGGCCCCAGGGTGTAGTATTAAGACGATCTCGCATTTTTGGGTCTGATAAGTGAGTTTCCTCCTTGATTTCCTCCACAGAATGTGGATGCATCATGAATTTCCGCAACAATTTGAGCTTGGTTTGAGAGTGGACGTCGCCAACCCGATGTTCCCACGGTTCGCGGAAATTCCCGTCCGGTTACAGCCGAGGGGGCATGCAAGCTCCCCGAGCCCATGCCGCTCTAACCTCCTCAATTCCTCGGATCTCCTCTCCGCCCACTGTCTCCTCCCTGGGAAATCTTCCTCTGCTCCTGGCCTGCCCGCGCACATCGACACCTCCCAAATCCGCGGCAACACATCAATTTATTTATTTCTCTTGTTCCAGGAGGCTCGTTTGAAAATAGCATTCAAGGAAGGGCACAACGTTATACAGATGAGACACAGTAGCGGGAGGTCTCGTACCCGCGCCGTGTAGCTTCTTGTAAAGCCGACTCTGCGGCGGAAAACAAAGCCCAGGTTCGGCTCCAGGCTGGTTCATTCCGTGCCTCCACTTTTTTTTACTTTCTTGCCATCTGAAATCTTATTTACAGTTGTTTCGTTCGAAGTAGGGCTCTACACCCTAGGAAGGAGACCCAGTGGCGGACGGTACCACCACCGCGCCGTCTAACGGAGGTGTATCGATAATAGCCAGGCCCTGGTTCGACTCCAGGCTGGATCGTGTGAGTCTCTGACAAGCTTTTTCTTTTTGTCAGTTCCATTTCTTGTATCCCACTCATCATCACTCATCATCGCCGATTGCGCCCTTGCGACTCATGCAGCTACATGTAATCCCTCCGTGTTTCATTATGCTGTTCCTGTCACTCGAAGATTGGGGTCCGTCCAATCGGTGCTCCACGAATTAAGGTTCTACATCCGAGGAAGGAGACCCGGTAGCGGAAGGTACCGCATCCCCGCCGTTTGTCATAGGATTTGGAATTCCAGTGGAGCCCCTGGTTCGACTCCAGGCTGGGTCATGCATTCTTGGAGCACCTTTTTTGCTCTGGGTCCCTCAGTCTAAATCCGCATCGAAGGCAGAGTTCAGCTTCAACGGAATAAGACCCCGTAGTGGACGGTACTGTACCCGAGCAATATCAATCTGCAGTTGATGCTTGCACGCGGGAGGTCCTGTCGAAAGCTAGGTTCAACGCTACAGGAATGAGACCCTGTAGTGGAAGGTACCGCACCCGCGCCGTGTATGGAAGGGAGGCAATTCTAGCAGGAGCCCCTGGTTCGACTCCAGGCTGGGTCATGAATAGTGTCCAACCCGGTTTTCCTTTTGTATTTCTTTGCTCCGAGATTCCTGTTCGAATTTACCTTCAAGACCGGATTCAGAGTTAGAGGAATGAGATCCAGTAGCGGATGATACTGCGCCCGTGCCGTTTAAATACAGGCCTTGCAATTCACTGCGGGAGGTCTTGGTTCGACTCCAGGCTGGGTCATGCCTTCTTCGATCGCGTCTTTTTCTCTGGGCTTCTCGGTCTAAATCCGCATCGAAGGCAGAGTTCAACTTCAACGGAATAAGACCCCGTAGTGGATGGTACCGTCCCCGCGCAATATCAACTGCAGTTGATGCTTGCCCCGGGAGGTCCTGTCCAAAGCTAGGTTCAACGCTACAGGAATGAGACCCTGTAGCGGAAGGTACTGCACCCGCGCCGTGTATGGAAGGGAGGCAATTCTAGCAGGAGCCCCTGGTTCGACTCCAGGCTGGGTCATGAATAGTGTCCAACCCGGTTTTCCTTTTGTATTTCTTTTGCTTAGAGATCCCCGTTGAATTCACGTTCAAGACCGGATTCAGAGTTAAAGGAATGAGACCCAGTAGCGAATGGTACTGCGCCCGCGCCGTTTAAGTGCGCTTCCAAGTGCACTGTGGGAGGTCCTGGTTCGACTCCAGGCTGGGTCATGCATGTTGCAACTTGTAGTTTTTTTTCGTGTCTTCTCAGATTTACCGGCACTCAAAGGCTGGGGTCAGCTACTGAAAATAAGACCCAGTAGCGGATGTTACCGCGTCCGCGCGATGTGTAAAACCAGCCGAAGTTGAATACGCGCTCGCGGGAACCCTGGTTCGACTGCAGCTGGGTCATTCTGTATGCACGTACACTTTTTCTTACCTTCTGTATTCCTATTCAAAGGTGTCTCGTTGAAGTAGGGTTTAAGCCGACAGAAACAAGCCCCAGTAGCGGGTGGTACCGCGCCCGCGCCATGTACAATGTCGATAGACTCGTAACCAGTCTGCCTACGAACAGCAAAAAAATGAGGCAAGCTCTTTGCCGTAGGCAGACTGGTACAACTCGGGCCAAACAATCGACGCGCGCGGGGAGTTTGAATTTTTTGGTGGTGCCGATCACGGCATCATCGATTGCGATCAGTTGCCATCATTTCCCTTGTAATTCTGACCATTTTGGTGCACTCTTAGCAGGGACTTTGAAGAAATTCTGAAGAGACAAAATTCAAGCATTATGCTCCTAGATTGAGCTCTCCCCTTGCATTTCATAATCCGACTTGAATTGAGCACAGGGCGCCAGCGGGGAGAAATTTTCAAACTCCGCACGCGCCTCGATTGCTGGTCCCGAGTTGTACCAGTCTGCCTACGGCAAAGTGCTCGCCACATTTTTTTGCTGTTCGTAGGCAGACTGGTAACGAGTCTACAATGTCGATCGACTAGGTGCACGCGGGAAAAACCTGGTTCGACTCCAGGCTGGGTCATGCATGCATGCGTTGGTCATTCCTTTTTCATGTCTTCTCAGACAGATCTAGATGCGGTCAAACCTGAGGTTGAACTCCACAGAAATGAGGCCCAGTAGTGGATGGTACTGTGCGCAATAGCAACATTATGTTCAGGCCTGCACGCGGGAGCTCCGGGTTCGACTGCATGAAGGAGTACTCAGGTGTGGCTCATTTTTTACCTTCTTTTCTTCGAGGGCGAGGAAGCCGCCGCACTCGAGGCGGGGTTCAGCAAATTTCCGCAACGCAACGAAGTTTGCAATCGCCCGGAACTTGCCGTCCAATCACGGCCGATCCGCTTTGTGATCCGTTTGCGTAAGCATGCCCCACCCAACTCACGTCAGCCCGGCCGCTCCCCGGGCCCGAGCCCATGCCCCTGGGCCTCAGCTAACCTCCTCCATCCTCCCATACCTTTTCTGCCACCGCAACATGCCTCCTCCCTGGGAATCTTTCCTCCGCTCCCTGCCCGTCCCGCCTTCCATCGACGCCTCCAAGATCCGCGGCAACATCCCCGACGCAGAGAAACTCGTCAACGCGGCCATCTTCGCGCACTTCGCCGGCGGGAGCCCCCGTGCGCGCGTCCAATCGCCATTTGCGAGCGAGATCGGAAGAACTTTGCGGATCGTGGAGTTGAATGTGTGGGACGACGCGAAGACGGGCGGGGCGGAGAGCGAGGTGGTGGTGGAGGTTGAGGTCACTGAGAGTGCGTGCGCGGCTCACTCAATCTCCCTTCCTCCGAATTCGTTTCGAATTTATTTCTCTCGTTGATAGGCATGTGCAATGTATATGGCACGATGCACGGCGGCTGCGCGGCAACGCTACTCGACTCGTACGTCCTCCATTTGCCAACCCTCCTTCTTATAATTATCAGACGCCGCCTTCATCTGATGATGAATTGCACGCAGCACGACCGTCGCCGCGATCGTCCTCCTCGGCCTCGCAAAGGGCTTCGACGGCACGGGCGTCTCGCAATCCATGAACGTCCACTGGCACCACCCCGCGCCCCTGTGCGTACCCTACTCCAAGGATACGCAATTGCTTACCTTCCCCTCCCTTCCCCACGCAGCGGCACGACCCTCCTCATCACCACGCGCTCCGTCTTCGCGGACGGGCGCGCGCGGCTGGCGCGCTGCGAGGTGCGTCCTCGTCCTTCCTTCCCTGACCTTGTCCCCCCTCCTCCCCTTCACTCCGCGCTGGCACTTACACTGGCGCCGAAAGATGCGCGACAAGGCGAGCGGACGCCTCGTCGTCTCCGGCACTCACGCGTTCCTCAACGCGGGGCGGGCGACGAAGCTCTGAAGCTCTAGTGTGGTGATTCAGGCCGGCGGGCGGGCGAGGCGAAGCTGTGACTGGACGAAGTTGTGAACGCGGGCTCATCGGCGTCGCCTTCATCGGATGTACGTGTAAGTCTGTCTGTGCGCATGCATCATCTCACTCTGCTCCAGGGTTGTACATAGATATCGCTTGTCTTTTGGTTGAATGTATTATAGCATAGATATTCCAATCGGAATCCCGGTGGTAATCGGCCGGAGTCGCGCTTCTGACCACTCGACGACGAACGAGCCCAAGTACGTCTGTCTACCCAATTGAATGATATTGCTGCTCCCTTGTGCTACGACTCGGAATTTGGGAGGGTGCCCTCCCCGGCCCCAATACGTGTAGGAATACACGGGCACGCCGCGGGCGCGGTACCGTCTCCCACTGTGCGTTGAGATTCTTGAAGACACGAAAAAGGACATATCTCAAACCGCCCCGTATGGCCCAGCCTGGACTAGGACCAGCTCTTTCTCGTGTGCGTGTATTCAATGACCACTCGTACTGTACATGGCACGGGCGCGGTACCGTCCGCTCCTGTTACGTTGAACTCTGTTTCAGGTGCGATCCCAAGCAAAAGGCAGGCAAAAAAAGACGTGGCAGTACACGGAATGACCCAGCCTGGAGTCGAGCCAGGGCTTCCTCTCGACGTGCCCTGGTTACGTGCCACTGGGTGCGGGCGCGGTACCATCCGCTAGGCATCAAATTCCTTTCCACTCATCACTCAATATTAATATTGAGCGTCAAACGGTTAACCATTTGTCAAACTCCCCGTCAAACCCCTTGACTGACAACACTGTGTCACTAGAACATATTCATTTTATGCAGGTGCGGTACTGGGTCTCATTTAAATCGGAATCTGAAGGTCAAATAGACCGGGCATCCGAGCGCAGAGAAATATAAAAGGAAAACCGTGTTAGACACTGATCATGACCCCGCCTGGAGTCGAACCAGGGGCTCCCACAGCAATTTAGTCTACACCACACGGCGCGGGCGGTACCGTCCGCCAATGAGTCTCCCTTCTAGAACATACAACCTTGATTCGTGGGGCATCGATTGAACGGCCCAAATGAATATTCGACTAACGCAGACGCTTCAGCAAAATGCAGCTCCGAGTGAGGTTAGAGAAGCGGAATTGAATTCAACAGCAGAACAAAAAAGAAGGAACTACCGGTGCCTGCCAACCTTGATGTCCAACAGCTCCCGTACATCGGGATAATCCAACACCAGATGATAAACCTGGATGACCTGGCTCTCGTGTTCCACGGGCAGCGATATGGTTGGGCACTTGTCCATGTTGGGTCCACTCATGTAGATGTAAGTGAATTTGGTGATACCGTGGCCCTCCAACCAGAGGCGGCCCAGGTCGTTTTCGGTGTGTGTTTTGTCGGCCTCCGATGTCCGGAAGACGAACGCGTGATTGCGTTGGTCGACGTAGAAAGAGTCGAAGGTCGGGAAGTTGGACTCACGCGGCCGGTAGAGCTGGTGTTTCTGGAGCGCGGGCAGTTCGGAGGTGGAGGTACGGATGACCACCAATGGTTTGGCCTGCTCCTGCTTCGCTTTGGACGCTGTTTCGATCGACATTTTGCCATTGGCCTGCAGAATTTTGCCGCAGTCCTGCTCCTGGGCCTGCCACAGATTAGTTGTGGCTCCGTCGCGGGCCTGTGGCGATTTTTTGAACTCGTGCAGAGGCCACCTGCCGCCTTCCCCAATGAACCAATGATGGTGCTTGTCGAGCAGGTCCGCTGCTGTCGCTTTACAGCCAGGACTTCTCCCGGAGACATTGATGACATACAGGAGCCGACGGGCTGTCTGGAGGTTCCTGTCGAGCTGGAGAATGAGCAGGTCCTGTAGGTAGCTGGTGGGAGAGGCCATGCGGAATCGGGTCCGGTCTTTGTCGTGCAAGGGCAACGGGGTAACGAACATGTGGCCGAACTTGCCATCGATCGAGCGGTTAGGGACCCAGAGCCGGATAACTTCCATGATGAGCTCGGTGTCTTTCACAAGCGTGGCCGCTGCTTCCCGGACTAGGTCGTCAAATGCGGCAAGCCGGTGGGATTCGTCGTAGACGTGCCGAGCTGAGCCTCCGAACTTCTGGAAAAAATTGTGCATGTCTGTGCCTGTGCGCTGCTCGATTTGTAGGGAAGATCTAGCGCGCATTAGTGGAGTCGGGTATGTGATGTGAGGGAAACACACCCAGCGAACAGTTCACCCAATGTCCAGGGCTGCATCATGCAAAACGAATGGATACCCGACCCTTGACTCTTCCCAGCCCACTTAGTATGACTAGCTCTCGGAGATGTTGCTTGAACGATAAAGCGGCCGCTGTCAATCACCACCTGCGGGGGATCCATGTTGTGCACATTAGAATCGAGGAGAAACCAGGCATCTTGTTCCAGGGCGACGGGTATCAGAACCGGGTTGTGAAGGACGAAGAAACGGGCCCCAGTATACACCACAGTGACGTTTGGGTCCGTCATGTATGCTGTCGGAAGGTGGGCGGCTACACGGAGCCAGAAGATGACAGCAAGAAAGACCGTCTTGCCTGACGTACATTCTATCAATAGAAGTTGACAATGCAGAGGGGATAACGCACCTATTCCAGGGAGCCCAGTGATGATGAGCGCACCGAACTCTCTGTAAAGATTGCCTTGGCGGACGTCTAGGAAGGGGTTCGGGAAGGTGGTGGCTTCGGATATATCGGGCGTGTGTTCCGGGATGCACAGCTCGTCGGGGCCAGGGACATGTTTCTGGTGCGGCGGGACGTTGGTCTGACGCCGCGGGACGTTGATTTGCTCCACGGGGCCACCGTCCACGTCGAAGCGGTCATCATGGCTTAAGAAAGACGTCACGGAAGGAGAATTT